CACGTAACACGGATACCTTTCCTGGTTTTCCATATTCAGTAGACCTACGCAGTGAATGATGCACACACATGCAATCCCCATGAAACTAATGAAATACATGTTACACAAGATGTGGGTACACTTACTAGTATATATATATATATATGCTTCAAGTTAAGAACATGTGATTAATTGTTGTCCCCCTAGTGGGTCAGGAGTAAGTTTATGGATATGCAACATTGAAATACAGGGTTCAATTCCCTGTGGTGGACAGAGTTCATGTAGCCAATTGTGTAGCTTTGCACTAAAACAACAATTTAATTACTTTTTTTATGTTTAGTGAACATTTGTTCAATAATACAATCAGATTTTGGGGTATCTAAAGCCTACATAACATTAATCAATCCCTACACAATGATCAATGAGAAACAACATATTTGTGTGTTAAAACTTTACCTGTAGGAAATTTCTGATCAAGGTATTTCTTTTTTTTTTGTATAAGTGTAAGGCCAACTTTTTGTGTAAGGAAATTAATCTCATAAATTTATATTATCGGGTAACTATGATTATAATGGGATTTTGATGGTTATTGTAGTCACTGCTGTATTATCTGAACTAAATGAAATTGTACTTTCTGTATACTGTTTCCCAATTAGCTTACTTTTTTTTCCTATCTCTTAATTCACATTCTGCATTTCTACAAATCATATGGTACAGTTTTTTGTTGACTAGACCCTATTTGTTTGGAACCATAAATCTTTAAATAAGTTTTACGCTAATGCACCTGGACAACATCCAGATACTGGAAAGATTACCCAAATTCTACATAAGTTAGAGCATTAATTAGCACACTAATGAGCAAAATATTTTACCATTTAACAAAGCTTCTAAAATTTTGAGCAAGGATACATTCATTTGCATAAGCCAACTGGTAAAGTGTCAAAGTCAATAATAACCTATTTACATAATGAGCATGCAAAAGAATTTTTATAAATATAAAAAATAACAAGTTCTAATCTTGCTATTAATAGTTAAATTATTGTATCAAAATGGGGTAAGGCTGTTTTTCAAGAAAGGATATGTAGTAATTTAAGTTCTGGAAACAAAATTAGAAACAAGGTGCCATATACCATAAGCATTGCTTTGCACATTTACAAACTTCAGCTATTTGGTATGAAAGCATAACAGGCATTTTCTATCTTCTTGTTTTACTATAGAACCTTTGAAATTATTTAGTTGTTTTAGGTATGTGTAGTTTTCACATAATACATGGCCAAGAAAGTTGTTAAGTTGCTTTTTTTCTAGCTATCTTTGTTCTCTATCATTCCATTGAGATAACACCTGGTCTGCCCATGGAGGTATGGCTCTAAAGCTACACACATTGTGCATGAATGTAAACAGCAGTTTCCTCCAATGGTGGAGCAGATTATGCTTCAAAGTTAAAACCCTTCTTTATGTTTTACTGAGAATGACCATTTAAAAGGGTAGCACTAGTCACTCTATGTAAGTCTGGAGTTACTATTTAACTAAGAAATATAATGTTTGGTCAATGTGGAATAGGATCTCACCCAAGGCAGTTTGGAAAGAGAGTAGTTTTGATCCAGTAAAAGCTACTATATGTCTTATGAATCAAGTTCACACACTGTTTGTAGATAATAAAGATTGTTCATTGTATGTTTATACAATTGTGTTAGTCTCTTTATTTCTTACTTGCAAAAGGTCTGGCACAGCTTGGTGGTTAGGGCACTTAACTCACAATCTGTGTGTCGTGGGTTCAAATCCCATCACCAAACATGCTTGCCCTTTCAGCCATGGGGGCACTGTAATGTGATGGTCACTTTTCATTGATAGAGTAGACCAAGAATAGGATGGTTGGTAATGATTAACTTCATTCTGTGAATGATGGTTCCTGGACAAAGTCAGAGATTCACCTCTCCATTCACATATAATTTATCATCATTTACTACAAAAATGTTTTTTAACTTGCCCAAATGGTAGTTTTGCTTAGAATTACTGATACACCATGAGATCTACTATTGTTCTGGCTGCTCTTGTATCAACCAGCTACTCTTGCCTTTGTACTCTGGCCTGCACCTGCTGAGCCATCAGTTATGACCAATAACCTTTTCTACCTTGCTACTCTGCAAGGTACAAGTAATTTAAACAAAAGTAACCCAACAATCCACAGGGAAAACAAATCCTTTGCTCCTCTCTTTCGTGAAGATATTTGGGAAGAGGCATCATCAGTATAGGCTGCAACATGAAAACCATGGGAGGATTTGGATAGTGCTGGGATTTGGTTAGCCCTTAGCTGGGCTTGAATTTGGTGTGATGTAGGTTGGTAGGACAGTTTGTCTAAGTATTCTTCCTCTTGGTTGTGAGCCCTTTGAGTTGTGGAAAATGCCATTTCCTTAAGAACAAAGCCTTTTTAACTTAATTCTGAGTTCTCTAAGTAACTGAGTGCATGAGTAGGATTGTTTGTTTGTGGAATTTCATACAAAGCTCCTCAAAGACTATCTGTGCTAGCTATCTCTAATTTAGAAATGATAGACTAAAGGGAAGACAGCTAGTTAACAACACCCACAATATGTTTGTAACTGTGCACTTGCTTGTGGATGTGACACAATAGGTGTGATCCTAGCATTGCCACTAACTTCAGTTACATCCACTTTTCTTGTTATGCTAATGATCACTATAGTGGGAAACTGGATGGCTGATTGCCCATAATTGCAGAATATCACTGAGACCTCATCCCTCTTGAGACAAATAGCTGCCCAAACTAATGCTGCTTGCCTTCCTTCTTGACAGGAAACATTAGATTTAATGTATGGGATCCATTACCATGCTACAAGGCACCAGTGTACTGGACTTCATCTATAGTAAATCACAGAATACCACTTACATACATAGGTGTACTGTGAATTCCTCTCCCTTATACATTCGTACAATTCATTGTTCCTGTACCCAATATGACAATCATTGGATAACTCTCCCATAGAACATCAGTTCACTGATTGCATAGACAAAACTAACCAATAAGCTCTCAAAGATACTGATACTAGAATGAGTTTGCCCCAAGAGACATCTGATCCCACAAATACATCAGCATGTTCAGCCAAGTCATTGAGTAGCTGCTGGTGCATTCAATCTAGAATGTTTGTACAATCCACAACTAGTGGTCTAAGATATTGTTGTGTCAGCGAGGTCACGTGACTAGTATCACGCCACTCGTTCTCTCGAACCTTCGTGAATTGTCGGGAGATTACTAGATATAGTGTTAGTCTTGTATATATATATAAGATGGTCACAACGTGACGGGACAATGTGTGTAGGTAATGAGTAATTGAACTGCAGTCAGAGAGAGATGTATTGTTGAATTCGAGCTCATGAGACGTGAATTATAGTTTGTTATAGCGTGACTGTTGAAGTTGAGTGTATCGTAAAGTTGTATTCGGAAAGAATAAACCAGTTTTATTTAAGAAAGGACTTGTGTCGCTAAAGTTTCGTCGGAACGAATTTACAGAAAATCAATTAACAAACGGAGACGTAACAGCAGTCATATAACATCACACAGATATATGTGACATATGTCTGATTGAACAACTACCATGCAGGCTTTCCTGGAGCATTATAGATGTATCCATTGCTGAGATACAGCAAATGTTGAGGGACATGATAATACAGCCTTCAAAGAGTTCTTGGTCGTCTTCCATTGGTGACTGTCAAAAAAAAAAAGGTACATCCCTTTCTGTATTAACTTTAGAAGGAGGAACGTGATATCTTGTGTTGATGCCTTTCCACTATTGCAAATAGATGTTTGGAAACATTGGAAGGTATACAACAGTTTAACATGTTAGACCTGGTGTCTGGGTACTGACAATTTCAGCTGGATGGCAAGAGCAGACCTAAGACTGCTTTCAGTATGAGAAATAGCTTGTATGAGTTTTGCATCATGTTATTTGGCTTGTATAATGCATCCACACCTTTGAGAGGCTAATGAAGCTTAGCCTCAACCTTTGATCCAAGCTTATAACTGTCTAGCTGTGAACTGTAACAGTTAAATTTCTCTTTTTAATAAGGATTCTTTATAAACTAAAAACCTGTAAAACTTCTATATTTATACAAATTGTTATGATATTAATTTTACCATTTCATATTGTTATGTATCGATTTGCCATTTTTCTTCCTCAGTATGATGTTTCATTTTATTGAAATTTTTGTTCAATGAAGTTTATAAAATTTAAAATTCAAAAAATATAACTTTACCATTTTTCTCTGCCTTTTCTGCAATTCTTCTTCTAACTGCAGTTTTTCTTGAGTTAGTGTTGCCAACACCTGAAGATGCTGACTGTTATTTTTTAATAACACGGCAAGCTGGTCTCTTTTACCTTCAATATTTCTCTAAGATTGAGAAAAAAACAACAGTTTCATATATTTATACACTTATGGATTTTGAGAAATAGAACATAACAAGAACTTAAACAAAGTAAATATTATTTATAAGAATTTCCACATTTACCTAACCTAACCTAATCTACCTATCTATCTCCTTATTTATGTCTGTTTGTCTGGTGTCACAAATTGTTGTGAAGCATTAAGGTAGTAAACTTGAAATGGACACCAAACTTGAACCATTTTTCTGATTGTTTATTCATTTAAGCCCCATCTTTGGAAGGTGGGATCTGTTCAAGTTTCTTTACCAAATTTGTTAAGTCATTTCCTCACAACAACTTGCACCAAACACGTAAGGAGATAGATGGATAGGGTGGGATCTGTTCAAGTTTCTTCACCAAATTTGTGAAGCCATTTCCGCAAATGAATGGTCAACTAAGTGAGAAAGTTGGTAGTAAAGTGATGTTTAATGCTGCAAGTAGAACAGGTATCCTTGCATCAGAGGAATTGATCATGTGCCACAGCTCAAAATAATGGAAGGTGTGGCTCACACCTCCATTTGTAGTATTAAGTACAGTACTTCAAGCACAGCATTGCCAGATACCTTTGCTGGTATCTCATGATTTGTGCTACATGTACTTTTTGCCTAGTGTTATCAATAAGTAATAATAAAGTATCTCTTTTCTTTAACAATGGAAATACTGTTGGCAGAAACACTGACATAAAATTTGAATTATCACTGGTGATGTTTTTTGAAAATTTTAACAAGCTAGTTTCAATAAGTTCTTTAGATGAATATCATTTATATACCTACCAATCTCTGTGTCTTCTCAAGGAACATTAAAATCCCAAAGATAAACTTACTAAAGCTTCATTTATTTTGAATTTTACTAGAATTAAAAGAGAGAATATTTTCACATAAACTCAGATATTTAAAATTTTTTTGCAATCATATCTTGCTGAAGTACAAGTTATTTTGATTAAGTGACTGTGTGACTAAGTTCATTTATTTATAGTCAGAAAAAGTTAATATTTTCATATAATGAAAAAATATTTTTGATAGATACCTCCTCTCACAGTTACAGCTATTCTCGATTTGACTGTCCTATAGTTTAAAAATTTTTTGATCACCACTAGCCTTGAACTCCCAACTAATTCCACACGTATACCATATGGTTCAGCTGCATTTAAGCATGTAAATTAGCATGCTGCAATCCTCCACCAATAGGGGTGCAACATCCTCGTATCGTAGCTGATTCCATCTGTGCATTTAAACTCAATCTTCACTTCGAGTTTAGGTATGAAAAACAATACCAGAAGTGGGAAGTGCGAGGAGAGATAAATATCTATTGGAAATATATTTTCAGTGTAGGTATTAATTCCCGATATGATTACTTACTTCCACTTACAACTAGAATCCAACATTGAACAGGTTGAGAGTCTAGTATATAATTACCTAGTTAAGCACCCTTCAAAAGCATCTGAAGAGCATCCATGGAGTGTGCCACCTCTATGTAGAGGAAACACAACCATGGGTGACCACACCACATCTGAACCAAGTATACTCTTTTCCCAAGTGGAGCCAATTGGTGATGCATCAAAGGTTGGAACAAGTGATCCATCCCAAATCCAAAAGAAAGAGGAATGTGTGGAGAGTGGCTGGGGTGCATCAGTCCATAATCGGAAGATCAATTCCAGTCCAGATCAGTGGAACTGGGAGGAAATTGACTAGCCCCTGACAGGAGGAGTGTCCTCAGCCATTCACCTCAGGTGTAAGAGCCAGAACGAAAGAGGAGCCTTCATTCCAAGAACCTAAACTAACATGTGTGCATATTAAACACAATCTGGAACAATAAATCCCAAGAATATACATCCGGATGACATCAGGAAGGTGGAAATGCAATGTGGAGGGTCAATTCCAGTCCAAAACCAATTGACAATGGGGATGAATCATCCAGACTGCAGTAGAAGGAAGTTCCTAGCCATGTGAAGACTTATGTTGGCTGGTCCAGCTCCAACCAAAACCAGTTGCTCAGGGACCGACATCCAGGCAGCGGTAGGAGGGAGGGTTCCCAGCCTGCAAAAGAGACAGAAAATCCAGTTCAGGCTGTCAGCATCTGGAATAATGTATCAGACCCACAGCAGGAGGATAGTTACACTTTCTACACAGGCAGAATACCACTGCCCTACTCTTGACTGGGTGGAATTGTGCACACTCAGGAGAATTCTCTGATGATTCACCACTCCAGCAGCTAGAAGCTGGGATGTGGTAAGAGTCTGTACGAAGCATCATTGGAGAAAGTGCAATGGGTGACAATGAAACCTTATTTCGAAAAGCAGACTGTTCCCAATTCCAGCAATCTAAACATTAGAGATGGGCAGCAATCTCTCTTTGCTTTACTCATGTTAATCCATGAGTGTATGGGTCAGTATGAACATATTTAAGATGCAATATACTGCAAAGGAAGAACTTGCAAGAAGTCTTGAGGAACATCCCATCTCAACAGTGAGTGTGATAAACCTTATGGAACTCACAGTGTGAATTTTAGATATCAGTATATCTGGGTGGGTTGTAGGGTAGCTCTGTCGTCTCCCTTTTGTTTTCCTGTTTTCTTTTTCTGTGTGTTATTCCTAACCTTTTCTTCCATATCCCATATTTACTCCCACTCTGATCAGGATCATGTCCTGTGTATGGTCCTTGCTTTACAGTGTTACGTGTCATGCACGACACCCCTCTGTGGTTTTCACTTCCATTTGTTTATCCTGCGATTCTGTCCATTTCTTGTGATATTTCTGGTTTGGTTCATCAAGTTATCCATATTGCATATTCCGCCCTTTCTCCTGAATCTTGCCAGTTGGTCTGTGTGTTGTACCATCTAATCTGTCACCTTCTAATGACCTTGGCTGCTCATTTCCATCATTCTTTGGAGGGAATTATCCAGGTTGGCATATGGACCACTCCCCACACCTTGGTATTGTGCTACTTGCACCATTTGGCAGTTTCCTGCCCAACTAGATATTGCCCTCCCCCTGTAGCCATTCTCCATATGTCGGTACAACTCTGAGTTGGTAAGTTATTTTTTGTTTCATTTTTTCAGGGGCCTACTTAACATGTTATGGGTCCTGCTCTGTGGCAAGTGGTGCCTGTTAATGGTTAAAAATGACAGACCTTTGTCAAACAACCATGTAAAAACAGATATCTGAGGAAGGGGAGAATCCATGCCAGATAGACAAATGACAGAATATTCTCCAGTTATGTTCTTACACAAACATGGATAAGGAACGGACAGTGTGAGACAACAGGGATGCTACACGTGGATACTCTCAAACCCCTTGCAAGGGACCAGACAAAAGCTATGCGTGAAGCCGGAATGTGGGAATGGAGAGATGAAGCACCCCTGAGTAAGGTTGCTGGAGGAGGGACTGGGAGAGAGAGAGAAGTAATTGATATTGTTTCTGGAAAAGGGACAGAAACCATTGTTGAGCCAGCCAGAAAGGAATAACAAGAAGGTCCTGACATGGAATGGATTGGATGAGAGAAATTACATAGGGTAGAAAATGGATGCTAGGGTATGTATAAAGAAAAGGTCCTTCCAATCTAGGATGAATGTATCCATGTCTAAAGCCAAAGGATGTGAAACTGGGGACCAAAAGAGAGGAAACTTGGCATTCAAATGAAAGGTAACTACACTCAGTTGGGGAGTATCCAACTGAGAACATAGCCATCAGAATACCTTGGGTAGAGAGACCACTCCGTGGGTAAAATATTGTTAAGACAAGACAGACAATTTGTGACAAAATTGAGGGCACCCAGTATGTGACAAGCCAGCAAATGAATTTGATGGCTGTGAGCTCAAAAGAGAAGATCTAGAGTGTAGGAACATAAGGACTAGGATCAAGTGCCCCCTTCACTGGTGAGGTAAGAGACAACCATCTAGTTGATGGAATGAATCATAACTGTCATGCCCCACAGAAATGACAGATAATGAGCAATCATCCGATAAACAGCACTAACGAAAAAAAGTCTGAAATCAAGCACTAGGTTTTAACACCATCGTATCAAATTGAGAAGTGAAGATTGGATTCAACTGCATAGAGCAAGTCAGATGCAATAGGAGAATGTGTCACACTCCTATTGGCGGAGGGCTATCACATACTAATTTGAATGCTTAAACATAGCTGAACCACATGGCATACACATGGAATTAGGTGAGAGTTAAAGGCTAGTGGCAAGCAAAAATTTGCACACTAGGTGTGCCATCCAAAAAGTAATTGAATAAATGCTAAAGATAAAACTTCCCTTAAACTTCCAACAGGTCACTTTTTTTAATACCAAAATGATTGCCACTGTTAAATCTGTTGTTGCAATTCTTTTATTCTTCACATAATTGCTAACAAAATTACAGTATTACCTCCCATTCCTTTAGAACACTATCATGATGCAATTGACAAGCTTTCTGCTTTGCCTGCATTTCCCCTAGTTTCATGTTTGCTCCTTGCAACTCCAAATGTTCTAAGTCCACAATCTGACCAAAGCGTTGTGTCATCTCTTTCTGACATTGCTGCTCTAACTGAGAAACTTTTTTTTCCATTCCATTACACTCTCTGGCCAATTTTTTGTATTTCATATGTGTTTCTCTGTAGAATGGGAGAACCACATTTTGCTTCAAGAGATTCATATTAAATATTAAGATAACATATATTTACTTAAATACACATGCACATACACACACATATATATATATATGTTTTTTTTTATCTTAAAGAATCTAAAAATTTAATTGTCTGTATTTTATATAAATTTTAAAATTAAATTTATTACTTTCAAAAAAGTGTTTAGTTGTTTTCTGATTTTTATACTTTCCATACTGAAGAGTAGTCTGTGATGTAATAAAACTTGTTAAATAAAGAAGCATTTGTCAAAAAAGTAAGCATTCAAGTTTTCTTAATATATATATATGTTTAGAATTTTACAGCCATTAGCCGAGGAAATTCCGAGTTGCATTTATTCACAAAAAAGTACTTAAAAATCTGTACTTTTTCCCCCAATGGCAAGTTCTTTAACTTCAAGAACCTTAATTGATTTTCACTTGTATGTTCATTTAATTCTTAAATGTAGAAAATTTAACAGACTCCTAACGAGCCAGTGGGGGACATTTTTGTTGAAAAAAACCAACTACCCAATTTGATAATGGCTGGAGACGGCTTGAATGGGTAATGAAGAAAAACTTATATTAAAGTTTTTCTTCATTACCCATT